GGACTATGTGAGTGCAGAGTGTCAAACCCTCAATGTGGATGATGATTTATTTGTTTATGATGAATGTTGCAAGTCTGTCTCCAGTAACAGTATCGTCTTATTCCAGAATGTCTCAAAGTTGGAAAAGGCAGATAGTCTGTTCTATACTTCAGTTCTGTTGAATGAAAACTCACAGTCCAAGCTCTACTGGATAGCGTATCTGTCGTGTACGGTCAATGAAGAAACAGAGTGTGAACTTTTGAACATGGGGATGTCTGCACAGGTAGACCAGTTGCAAATGGACATTCTTCTCATTGACTGTGGTGGTGTTAAAGTCAGACCAAAAGGAATCTATCAGCTGAAGATGCACGTTTATGGCAAGTTAGTGAGTGTGCCTACACTAGTCGTCCTAAGACAGAGAGATCAGTTGATTCTGGGAACTAATGTTATTAAGTTCATACTTACTCAACTCAAGCAAACCTCTGGCTATTGGAATGTAATGAATCGTTCTGAGACATCTGGAGAACCTGAAATTGAGCAGTTTCTGAACATGTTGTCAGGTATTAACAGGTGGAAGGGTGGTGAAATCCCTGATGTTGTGGGCACTGCGAAACTAGCCCAGGCCGTCACTCTGTTGCCCGAAAAGGAACATCTTGTGTGGGGTAAACTTCCGTTAAATACCCCTATTTCCATGGGAAGTACTGTTGTGATTGAGCCATCCAAGGCGCAGACCCACAAGAAAGGCATCATGGTGGGAAGAGTCATAGCCTCTATGTCTGGTGATGGATGGGTCCCAGTCAGGATCATGAATCCCCTTAATAAGGCTATTACACTGAGAAGGAACACAAAAATAGCTGATGTCTTCCCTGTTGTGGCTGTTGAGGACCTCAATGTGTACCCTGATCACAAAAACAATGAGATGGTGAGTGTGCAGAGCCAGAGCATCATTGGAGGCATTGAAGAAGGAGATTGCCCTGCCTTCAAGCTCCGTGAAAGCCTTCATAAACTTGGTCTTGGCAATTTAGATATTGAGTCATGTGAAGTATCCCACTATTGGAAGAGTCAGCTAGTACAGCTCATTATGAGGCATGAGGAAGTATTTTCTAAACATAAACTAGATTGCGGAGAGGCCAAGGAGTTTGTCCACCGTATTCGTTTATCAGACGATCGTCCCTTCAAGTTTCCATACCGCCGCGTTCCACCAGTGCAGTACCAGAAGCTGAGGAGCGTTCTCTCTGAGATGGAAGAACAGGAAATCATATGCAAGTCCAATAGTGAGTGGGCTTCGCCACTAGTGTTGGTATGGAAGAAGAATGGAGACCTTAGAGTGTGTGTGGAACACCGTTGGCTGAACGCTCGGACTGTTAAGGATGCCACCCCTTGCCTCACCAGGCGGACTGTTTGGCAGCTTTGGGAGGGAATGTAATCTTCAGTGCGATTGACTTAACCTCTGGGTTTTATAACATTGTAATGTCTGAAGAGGACAAGAAGTTCACTGCCTTCACAACTCCCATGGGCCTGTATGAATTCAACCGTCTGCCTCAAGGGCTCTGTAACAGTCCAGCCAGCTTTATGCGACTCATGACCAACATCTTCGGGGATCAGAATTTTCTCACTCTGTTATGCTATCTTGACGATCTTCTTGTGTATGCACCAAATGAAGAAGCGATCATTGAGTGGCTTGAGCTGGTGTTTTCTAGGCTCAGTGCACATGGACTGAAGTTAGCCCCGAAGAAGTGTCATTTTCTTCGGAGAAGTGTGAAATTTCTGAGGCATGTCATTGATGGCACTGGAGTGGCAACAGATCCAGACAAGGTTAGTGCCATCTCTGCCATATCTGTATCTGATCTGATGATGCCGGATGGAGTGGCTCCTTCACAAAAAAAGATAAAGTCATTTTTGGGAATGGTCTTATATTATCAAAACTTCATTCAAAACTGCTCCAGTATTACAAAGCCGCTATTCGCCTTGACTGCTGCACCCAGAGGAAAGAAGACCCCTGTGAGAGGCATTGCGTCATTCAAAAGACTGAACCCTGATGATTGGAAGCAAGAGCACAGTGTGGCGTTTGAAAAACTAAAGACAGCCCTGTTAGAATCTGTTGTGCTGGCTCACCCTGATTTCAGCCGGCCATTCATTTTATGTACTAATGCGTCTATGGATGGGTTAGGAGCTGTACTGTCGCAGGTCCCAGAAGGAGAAATTAAGGCACGTCCCGTTGCCTTTGCCAGTAAAGCTCTCACTCGTGCACAGGCCAGATACCTTGCTCATCGTCTAGAGTTTTTGGCTCTGACGTGGTCCGTCTGTGACAAGTTTAGTCACTGGTTAAAAGGACACGACTTTACTGTGTGGATGGACAACAATCCTTTAACATACATTATGACGAAGCCAAAGCTTGATGCATGCGAGCAGAGGTGGGTGTCTAAGCTGGCCCCCTATAGCTTTAGCATCCAATACATACCTGGCAGTAGAAATGTGGTCGCAGACGCTTTGAGTAGGCAGCCCTTCATCCGTGGGTGTGTCAGTCGGAGGCCGTCTGAGCCGTACAGTGTGCTGTTGGAAGAAGCGGAGCAAGTCCGAGAGAACTCCATACAAGATGTTATCAGGTTGAGTGCAAACAACTGTAATGTTGAACATTACTCCTGTGCAGGTTCAGAATCAAGTTCACTCACTAATGTTGAAGTGTCGGTGATCCTTGATATTCACACAGAGTGGGAAGTAGGCACGAGGGATAGGGCAGTCCAGTGGCTCACTCAGGATACCCACCAGTTGTTGTCTCCAGGTCCTAGTCCCCTGCCAGTTTTCTCATTGTGGGAGTTATAGGAGAAGCAGCAGGATGATGCAACCCTGTCAAGAGTCTTGTTCTATGTGAGCAGAGGAAGAAAACCATCTAGACGTGAGAGAACTGGAGAAACTCACAAGGTAATTAAAACACTTAAACAGTGGGAGAAGTTCAAAATGCTTGACGGTATACTATACCGAGTGTGCAAGGATATCCTGACACGTAAAAGGAGATTGCAATATGTTGTTCCATGTTCGTTGGTGAAGCAGGTTCTTCAAGGCATTCATGATGAAGCTGGGCATCAAGGTCAGGGTAGGACTATATCCCTTGCGAGACAGAGGTTCTTCTGGGTCAGTTTGGAATGGGACGTGCGTGAGTATGTTAAATGTTGCAAGCGCTGTGTAGTGAGCAAAACTCCAGAACCTGGTCGTAACAGACCACTTTACCAAGATGGCCCACGCTTTCCCTTGTAAAGACCAATCGGCTAAGCAAGTTGCAAGGCAGTTGTGGGATAGGTACTTCTGCGTGTCCCAGAAAGGATCCATTCGGATCAAGGTGCCAATTTCGAGAGCCAGGACGTTGCTGGAGTGAGGAAGTCAAGAGCAACTGCGTATCACCCAATGGGCAATGGTCAAGTCGAATGGTTCAACAGAACTCTGGGTGGTATGATAAGGGCGTTGCCACCTAGGGCCAAGCAGAAATGGCCACAGATGTTGCAATCGTTAACTTTTGCTTATAATTGTACAGCCCATGAGTCGACTGGGTTTGCGCCCTTTTACTTGATGTTCGGCAGGGTTCCCAAACTCCCAGTGGATGTGATGTTCAGCAGTGTGGAGTGGGACGATGTCCTCATTGGTTATGATGCATACGTGAGGAGATTGAGGGATGATTTGAAAGAAGCTTTTGCCCTTGCTCAGAAGAATGCTGAGGTCAGTCAGTGACGCCAGGTAGACCTATACAACAAGAGGACCAAAGGTTGCCGTATTGAAGTTGGGGACCAAGTCTTACTGGTTAACAAAGGCAAACGTGGTCGCAGGAAATTGGCGGATAAATGGGAAGCCACTCCATACACAGTTGTTGCCTTAAATCCTCAATGTCACACCTACCGTATCCGCAACACCCACACTGGTCAGGAAAGGACTGTTCATAAGAACTTGCTCCTTCAAGCTAACTTTCTGCCAATTGAGGTTGAGGGAGTTGAACCCTAATTCAGTGACTGCAGTGAACCAGCTGATGACTGTAGCGGAGCAGCATTGAGTGGTGCTATAACGCCCATGTCTGAATGCGGCAATGCAGATCGAACCGCCAACTGGGTGGCAGGGATTGTGGCCCCAGATGACAACCTGAGCAGTACATCTTCCAAGACAGAGAGTGTCCCTCCATTAGCTGTGGATTCTGAGACCGCACAATCTGTGTTTCCAGCAACACAGGATGAACTTTTGGAATGTGACAATGTTTCTGATCATTCAAGTAATGGAGGATTGACTTGTGACGCAGTGATATCTCCATCTGTGGGAGGTTCAGTTGATGTTCAGACCTCTGATCCTGTGGATTCACTCCTAAATCAGGTGGTGACTCAAGTCAGAACCAGATTTGGCAGGCTTGTAAACAGGTTGATTCAGAACATGACACAAAACATGAAGATTAGCAGTTCAGTTAATGGGGTTACCAGGTCTTTATTGACATAGGCTGATTAAGCTGTTACATAGATCATACAAGTGTTTCTTTTGAGGTTATTTATGTCACATCAAGTTGAGAAGACCAACATTCAGAAATCTTTCAGCTACATTTAACAGTAGCTGTCACATTGAAATCAAAGTAGTGATGTTTGAAGCACCCTATTTACAAGTGTTCTCTTAGTAGGCCTGATCACCCTGCTTAGGTCACTTTCCCTGTGGGTTGGGAAGCATATGTTGCTGTGTTGAATGTACTGAATGTCAGTTGAGTTATTCTGTTTGTGGCTTTTCAAACAGCTATTTATCCATATTATCCAAGTTTTGTGAAGTTCAGCGGGGAGAATGTAGCTGGTTCAAATATTACAAAATATAATGGATATTGTTAATGAACTTCATCAAAGTTTTTTTTTTTTGTGTGTGTGCTTCATACTTGTGTTTGGGGTTATAATGGAGCATAATGTTCATAATTAATTCTAGTGGGAACTGTTCATGCAGAATATTGTCTTATATGGGGCACATATTGGTGATGCACATCATACCTCGTGCGATTGTGCGAACAGCGCCATCTTTAGAAGCACATATGCTGCTGACGGGGTCTGTTGTACTTTCACTCGCTCTTCAAATGAGAGTGCTGGTAAGGACATTCCTCCAAGTGTAAACGATGTCATCAATGAATTTCATGAGATAAATCATGTTTAAGTAATGTAAGACTGTGATGTCATGAAATTTAATGCGATGAATTGCATTTTGAATGTTTTACTCTTTTGAGATTGGTTTTGCTTACTAGCTTTCTCCATGCTGTACGGGCAGACTGAAGGGGAGAGAGGTGTATCCCAAAAAAGTTTAATTGTGCTCTGTGTGTTTCTGCAGGTATGTTTGTTGTTTATTGTGTTTATATATTGAAACATGTTTGAAATGTGTTTAATATCAAGCTTATATGAGTTTGATAAATACAAAAAAGAGTGAGGTCTGTATGCAAACGTGATGTTGTCAAATTGATATTTTTGTGTGTGTAAAATCTGTAACTTTTGACTTTTTCCCCATTTAATTAATTCACTGATGCGAATAAGCGGTGAGGAAACTTTATTTTATATTATTTCATATGCCATATAATGGTGACATGTATTTTGTGACTTATTTAATTTATCTTATGCTTTATAACTGTTAAATGAGTAAATTAAGATCTTTAGAAGCACATATGCTGCTGACGGGGTCTGTTGTGCTTTCTCTCGCTCTTCAAATGAGAGTGCTGCTTTCTCCATGCTGTACGGGCAGACTGAAGGGGAGAGAGGTGTATCCCAAAAAAGTTTAATTGTGCTCTGTGTGTTTCTGCAGAATAAAACATCTTGAGACTTCCTCCACCCGCATTGTCTTTATTGAGAATAACAAAACACAACCAGAGTAAATCTGCTACAGTCACACCAGATACTGACTGGCTTTTGGACCCCCCCAATACAGTAAAACTGCACATTTTAGAGTGGCCTTTTATTGTGGCCAGCCTAAGGCACACCTGTGCAATAATCATGCTGTTTTTATATATTTTTTTTGTGTGTATATATATATATATATATATATATATATATATATATATATATATATATATATATATAGTATGTCGGTCCCTAATCATGACATTAAGGGTTTTACTAAGGAGCCCCAATCACCTGAGTTTAAGAGAAAAGGCCAATAAGAATTGGCAAGTGGATTTTGCATGCCAAGCCACTCCTCATATACTGTATATATAGCTCTCTGACCCAGAATCGGACCCAGAGCTGACGGCCATGCTTGCCCAGGCAGCCGTGAGCATCAGGCTGGAGGTGAGTTCACCCCTCAGCCCTGAGTGCTCATGGCTGGATGATTGGATTCTCAGCGCGGAGCACCGCTTTATCCCAGAGGTGCATAAAGAGGTCACAAAGTCATGGAAGGCCCCTTTTACAGCCAGAAGCCACTCATTGCCCTCCTCTGTCCTCACTACTCTTGATGTTGGTGCAGAACTTTGATGTTCCCCAGGTGGATAGAGCGGTTGCGATGCACCTGTGCCCGCAAAACGCCACCACCTGTAGGAACAGTCCACGCCTCCCTTCCAAAGCCTGTAAGCGGACATCAGCACTTGCTGCCAAACCTTACAGTGCTGCATGCCATGGCAATCCTGTAGGTCCACCAAACCAAGGCATTTAAACAGATGAATGAGAGTAGTACTGATCCAAGGTTGATGTAGGAGCTGTGTACGGCAACTGACTTCGCCCTCCTAGCCACTAAATTCACGGCGCAGTCCCTCGGGCAGGCAATGTCCACTCTGGTGATCCAAGAGTGTCACCTCTGGATCAACCTGGCACTTTCTTGATGCTCCCATCTCCCAGACTGTTTGGTGACACTGTCTAGGACTTTGCCCATCATTTCTCGGCAGTACAGGAGCAGACTGAGGCCATCAAGCACATCTTGCCCCAATGTGACCCTCCTTTTGCCACCATTCTGTCGAGGGCCGGCCAACTGTGTTTTCCTCAGCTGCTCTCTCCCACGCTGAAGTAACACCAAGGCCAGCAAGTCGAGCCTCACACAGGAAGGTGGCGCCCCCATGTCTCATGCTGCTGCTAAGTCTTCTAAGAAGACGGCGAAGCGGCCTTGACATGGGCAACCCGGAGATTAGGTAAGCTGCTTTTTTGCAGGAGGTGGTGGGCACATCACCACTCCTTCCTCCGGAGGAGGGCAGGATAATTTTTTGTTTCTTTTTCTTTTTGTTCCGCTTCTGGCTCAACGGCCAGCGGTACCCAACTTTTAAAAAAAAAGAGCAGTTTCCTCTTCTTCCAGGTTGTGTGGCTCATGGGTTGACAATGAGCAATGCACTGTTTCCTCATTCGGCCCTTATCGCGGCCAAGAGACCATGTCTCGAGGACGCAATGCTTTCCTCATGTGTCTCTAGCCAGTCCCTCCATGGACACTAGGAATCCTGTCAGTGTGACACATTGTCTGCCAGGTCTGACCCAAGACGCTATGCCTTCTGGGCCGACCAGCAGGATTCCCCACCACTGCACTACCACGTGTATGTAGGTTGTCCATTTGGTGGCACAATCAAAATCAACAAAAGAGCAATGATATACAAGTGTTATAACAAGTCTCAGTTAGCTTAACGCAGTACCCATAGCAAGAGTTTTTTAAATAATAAATAAAAAGAAAACAGAATAGAAAAAGAATAGAGCAAGCTAGTGTTAGAGGTCTTTTTTGCTTTTGTTAATTGTATAATAAATGAAAAGAGAACAGATAGAATACAAAAACATACGTCTGAAGTAATGAATTTAGGTAAAGGGGTGCAGAGCCAGTGGTGGTTTTGTAGGCAAACATCAATGCCTTTGAATTTTATGTGAGCAGCTATTGGTAGCCAGTGCAAATTGATAAACAGAGGTGTGACGTGCATTCTTTTCAGCTCGTTAAAAATTAATCTTGCTGCCACGTTCTGGATTATTTGTAAAGGTTTGATAGAACTGACTGGAAGACCTGCCACGAGAGCATTGCAATAGTCCAGCCTGGACAGAACAAGAGCTTGAACAAGGAGTTGTGAAGCATGTTCCGAAAGAAAGGGCCTGATCTTCTTGATGTTGAATAAAGCAAATTTGCAGGACCGGACAATTTTAGCAGTGTGGTCTGAGAAAGTAAGCTGATCATCAATCATAACTCCAAGGCAGGGCCGGTTAGACATTAGGAGGCCCTAGGCAAAATTCATGTTGGAGGCCCCCCACCCCAAGAAAAAGCACTTGAAACAAATACAATCCCTAACCTTTTTGTTTATACAACATTTCAATTTATATTTAGCATATTTTTACTTATACAGTTCAAAAGTTTGGACACATACTAATTTTAATGTTTTTTTAATAAAGTCTCTTATGCCCATCAAGCCTGGATTTATTTGATCAAAAATACACAAAAAAACAATAATATTGTGAAATATTATTACAATTTAAAATAATGGTTTTCTATTTTACTATACTATAAAGTATATTTCTGTGATCAAAGCTGAATTTTCATCAGCCATTACTCCAGCCTTCAGTGTCACATGATCCTACATAAGTGATTCTGATATGCCGATGTATTATCAATGTTAGAAACAGTGCTTAATGTTGATTTTATAACCTGTGATACTTTTTTCAGGATTTGTTGATTATTAAGAAGTTGTTTAACACATCCTTGCTGAATATTACTGTTTTTTTCTGTATTTTTGATTAAATAAATGCAGGCTTGATGAGCATAAGACATTTCTCTCAAAAACATTAAAAATAGTAATGGGTCCAAACTTTTGACTGGTTTTACAACTGGTACTTTATGTACATATTAATCAAACTTTATCTAAGGTAATCTCTTTTTTTGTTTGATGAAGATGTTATTGTTGTTATTATTTTGCTGTTTTATTCAATTTATTCACAGTTCCAGAATACCACTTCAGTAGAAAGAGCTAGATAAGTAGATAAGTGCTTTTATAATTTTTTTCCTAGCTGGGTATGGGCAGGATTTCTCCCTCCAATTTAATCAATATTGACTACAGATATTGTCATATTATTAATATCAAAAATATGATATTATGTATTGCATTGTTACCTTAAATATGTTATATATAAATATACTGTATATATATATATATATATATACACACACACACACACACAAATCAAGTGGAAGAGAAAGACTACTAAGCAGAAAAAAGTTATTTTCTAGTTGGTTGAAACTGAAATTATAAGTGTTATGTCGTAGTTGCAGTATAATGTAGTATCATCAGCAGAATTTAGAAGATACACACATTTGAGATCCTTTATTTGAAACATTAAAAAAAAATTCTAGTGTGTTTGCTTTTTAACTTTGAATACAAACTTATTTGCTTTTACTTTTGTAGCTATTTTGATAGTCAGCTCCCGACGCGATGTCATTCACTATGCACAAATTCAAGTGTCGCGTCTGGGTGCGTCAACGGCGCTCGCGCTTTTTAAAACTCGTAATAGAGCGGTGAATGATCTTTCCAGAAATGACGCTGATCGACAGAACAAGTTTATATTTAGAATACATTGCATCGCACAGTTCGCAGCAGCTGATGGATGCGTTCGTTGCGCAGACATTCAGAAGGCGGGACCCGCTTTGAAACTGCAACATTAATTTGTTTAATTGCAGATGAGTGACAATTCAAATATATCCAATGAACAATGAGGCTAGAATTTGCTGCCGGTGGACTAGCATATAGGGGATGTCATGGTTATGGAGGCCCCTCCTCAAAGCACGAGGCCCTAGGCAATTGCCTGCTCTGCCTATAGCTAGCGCCGGCCCTGCTCCAAGGTTTCTGGCTGTTTTTGAAAGAGTTATGGTTGATGTGCCTAACTGGATGGTGAAATTGTGATGAAAGGATAGGTTTGCTGGAACCACAAGCAGTTCTGTCTTGGCAAGGTTGAGTTGAAGGTGATGGTCCTTCATCCAGCAAGAAATGTCTGTTAAGGGCCTTTCGCACCACAGAAACCATTTCATAGTACCAGAACTACTTGTGGAACTACCTACTTTTTGGCGTTTTCGCACCACCGGAACTGGATGTGATTTTAGTACCAAACTGCCTTTTTCGAGAAACAAATGAGCTCCTACTCCGGAGCAGGTGTGTTTACTATTGTCACTTTGCATTATTGACACACTATTTTCCTAATTAATGCTGTACAGTTGCTTTGAAACAATCTGTATTGTTAAAAGCTCTATATAAATATAGGTGACTTGACTTGACTTGACTAAGAACATGTAATAGAGCGATGTGTTTAAAGAGAATAAAAAATAATATTAAAAAGAGATCAGTCCTTTCTGTTGTTTATTAATTCAAGCGGTGATTGTCCTTTGACGCTGTACGTAGTCATGTCACTGGAATTCGAGTGATTACTGTCCCAACAGAGCTGTTTTTGACAGGGTAAAAAGGGTGTTGTTTTACACTACCATTGAGAAATTTTAACCAAAGTATGTTATAGACTTTTCATTTAGACCCTAAAGAATCATATCAATTTGTGGAAAATGGGCCTCCATTGACCCCTTTAAGTGATCTGCCACCTGTTACCCTCCACCTTGAAAGTGTATGTTGCTGCTATCACAGCGCATCACAAAGCAGTGGATGGCCAGTCGGTCCCTAAGCCACCCCTCATGCCCTCCTGGGATCTTACTGTTGTCCTGGCAGAACTTCAGAGAGATCCCTTTGAGCTGCTAGAGTCAGTTGAGCTGAAGATCCTGCCTTTCAAGACAGCTTTCCTGACCGTGTTCACCTCCATCAATAGGGTCAGGGACCTGCAAGCATTTTCGGTAACCGAAGAGTGCCTGGTGTTTGGGCCGGCCTACTCTCACATTATCCTGAGACCCCGGCCTGGATACGTCCAGAAGTTTCCCACTACTCCCTTCCCGGGACTAA